TGAAGGGCAGATTGGTGTTGCTTCAGAACAATTCTCTAGCGCTGTTATGTAGAGGTGTTACTGTTAAGGTTTTAATAACATTATTTTATTTACTAGTGAAGATTTGCATATGTTATCTCACATTCTGTAAGGTAAATTTTCTGGAAAAGTCAAATTAACTACTGTAACTAAGTATTAATGAAAGACCTTGATGTGTATATGACAATATTAGATGTAGTTTCTGGGTCATTTGGCAGAACTGCAAAATGGCCAGAAGGAGGCAACTGCTGTGGTTGCAAACAGGCTTTGGGTGGTTTGGAAGTAAGGGCAACTATGGAACTGCTCAGCAACATGGGACCCATAGCTAATAAATAGTAATATAACTTTGTGTGGATGTAACCTTGTGAGATTTGATTTTTTGACAGCATTTTTATGTGACAACTTCTCTTTTTAGATAAATGCAGAGTTTAAGCGCATTACCACCATGCCACTGCAGTCCAGATTACTCTCGCAGATAGATGTGCTATCTGACAAACTAATAAAGGTCTTCAAAAGGCGAGGAGGACAAATAGGAAGAAGACTTCAGAACATTCTGGAGCCCACGGCCCAGGTAAGAAAAAATTAATTTGTGTATACACTTTAGGGAAATAATAATTTTAACAAAATGCTGCTTGTCACTCTATGCCAGGAGTATGTTGAAAATCACCAGGGATTTTCACAATTTACCATGGGTGCGTTTTTTTCTTTTTCTTTTACCTGCATTTTTCTATGTGTGGAGTTGATAGTTGAACACCTCTCTGTGCTCTGACAGTATTCTGCTTCTTTGCGTGGAGATTTCGCATTACCTTTTTAAGCATTCTGAGGACTCAAATCACATGCTGTAATGAATCCATTTTTGTTCACCTAATGTGTTAATGTTAACATTTTTTGGAATAGTGACACAGATTAAAATAAGATTTGGTATAATGTTCTTTGACCAGTGTTCTGTTTAATTAAATTTTGGAATTCTGCATTTTCTAGGCCACAGATGAAGCCATTATCCAACGATCTAATAAGGAAACAACCATGGGAATTTACATCATAAAGTCAAGAGATGCCAATGGCAGCCCTGAGGACATCGGGATAGTCCTTGAAGGCCAGAGAGTCTGGCAGGATTTGGATAACTATACCCTAGCAGCTGCAATGCTTTTTGGACTAATGTACACTTTGAACCTCACCTACCCACTGGAAAAGTATACCTTCGAGGTATTATAGAAACTGGTTATGGAGCTCAAAAGGAACAGCCTTTCAAAGAAGGCCCAGGTTTTGTACGATTGAACAGTTTTCCAGTTATGATGTGGGAACAACATGTTTACCTCTTCGAATATGTACTATCCTTTCTTTTAAGCCAGCACTGGTAAAGTTGCAGGACATAGTGAAACTTATTTTTCTGGCACTTTTCAACTTGGGGCCCTTATTACTGCAGTTTTCACTTTTCAAGCCATGACTCTTTTAAAAAAAAATTCAAACTTTGAATGTCCATTTTTCTCAATGGAAATGGTGCCTTGCACCAATTTCACCAGTTTGCAATTTTTTTCCCAAGGTGCACCACTACAACAGATTGCATCGTCTAGTATTAGTTATTGTGATGTTTAGTGATAGAAGCAAGCCAATACTAATCAGTTTAGGTCTCTTGGTTGTGTGCCTGTGGGTTATAATGTTATTTTAAGTCTCTTCTTTGTGTCATTTTAATAATTACACCCCTGTTGCCATATTACCTTATGGCTCTTACATTTAAAAAACTATTTTTTACATAAGCGCGATGTCATAAGGCCCCACAATGTTGAATTCAGGTTACAGCAGATAACTTTGAGGAATGTTGTGGAATGTTTTTCAAGAGATGCATTGTACAAATATGACTCATGTATATTTTGGAAGCCTGAATTGAAAGTCCATTGTTACAACTGTGTAGTATTTCAAAAATACAGGTCATTGTTCAAAAATGTTTTGCTTATTTCTTTGATTGAAGAGAAAGTGTACAGTACATACAATAGGATCAGCCTTAATTTAGTTTATTTATTGAACACTCAATTATATACTATATTATATTATATATTATATATTAGAAATTTGTTATAAATAAAATAAGCTTACCATAAAATAATCTTGTCAATATAACACATAGTAGTCCGATACAATTAACACAAAAAGTTCATGTCTGATAAACAAGTGGTTTCTATAAATATTTGACTGGAATGAAAAACATAACAACAACATAAAAAAGTCATGTTTGTGTTACCAGAAAAATGTGTGCAGGTATAACATAAAAAACTAAGGTTAACCAAACATAACTTAATTTCGTGCAACCGATTACAATAATTTTTTTACGTTTATACCACTGATTATTTTTTCAGTGTGAACTGTGCTGTATATTAAAGACGTTTTGAACGTGGGACAGCTGAGTTGCATTTGGAACAAAGTGATAGTTTTGTGTTCACATTAATAAACATATTTAAAAACTGTTTATATTTCATTTCAGTCTTTATTAATTGTTGAGTGCACCACAGGACGTTTGTCCTTACATTGCATTGAAGCTGGTAGCGTGTCCAGAGGGGAGGCATGGTGTGGCACTGCACCCAACACGCCCCACCCAATAATTTATATCAAATGATACAAATCCAGTTCCAAAAAAGTTCAAATGTAAATTGAATGCAGTGATTTACAAAATTCTTAAACTCATACTTTATTCACAATGCAATATATAAAAACATATATGTTTAAACTGAGACACTTGGCTCATTTTCTATTTATGCCAGCAATATGTCTCAGAGAAGCTGGAACGGGGGAACAAAACACTGAAAAAGTAAGCAGTACTAAACAAGAAATAGGATTGCAGCTAATTAGATTAACTAATTAGCAACAAGTCAGTAGCATGACTCGGTATAAAAAGAGCAACTTAGAGAGTTTCTCAGAAGTAAAGATGGGCAAGGGCTTGAGAATCTGTAAAATATGGCATCAAATTTTGGAAGAATCTCACAATAATTTTCCTGAGAGTCAAACTGCAAAGACTTTGAACACCTCATCACCTACATTGGAGGCAAAGTTCCTAAATATACTGCTTTTCTCCTCTACTCATGCAAGCACTTTGTTCTACATCTAAGAGCTATCAAACATACACATGCAGATAAACGCATCAGTGGCAACTCTTCGCCATGCAGACTGGAGCAGCGGGGATTGAGCTGACAACCTTCCAGTTAGTAGATGACCCGTTCTACCTTCCGATGCACAGCCATCCCATTGGTACATAACTTAATCAAACCGAGAATCTGGAGAAATCTCTGTGCGCAACGGACAAGCTGAAAATGAATAATACATGCCAATGATTTTTATGCCCTCAGACTGCACTGCATTGAAAAGAAGCACGGCTCTGTCTTGGAAATCCCTGCATAGGCTCAGAATCCAGAAATCACCGTCTGTGAACACAGTTCAACAATAAATGCAGGTTAAAGCTCCATCATGCAAAGAAAAAGCCACATGTGAGTATAACGCAGAAACACTACTGTCTTCTCTGGACCACAGCTCATTTAAAATGGACTGAGGAAAAGTCAACAGCTGTTCTCGGGTCACATGAATTAAAATTTTAATTCTTTTTTCATGTTCTCATTTAAGCCATCATGAAATGAAAAATACCCCAAAGAAGACCGGGGACTGTTGAGCATCTAGAATCCAACGTGCCGCTGCCGTCTAGGTCAAAACGAGCCAGTATTTTTCTGAAAACTATAAATTTAATTGGTTTATGCAGTCTATATGTTTTCTATGTTCTGGGCGGAATCAAGTAATTAAGTCATGAGTTTTTCAAATCAAAGTTACCTTGCATATACTGATAGACAGCCTATCAGCTCAGTCTAGCCAAGCTGCGTTCAGGACTGTGCAGCCTTTTCAGGTTGAATAAGTTGTTACCAGGTTTCCACTGGGTGGGTTTATAGTGGATGATTTATTTGTTGCTTTTGGGTTTCTTTTTTCATTCTGTTACTTTTGCTTTTTTTTATGATTTCTAAAAATAGCCCTGAGTTCTGTGCACTGCTGGGCTTGTGTTATTATCAGAATCTGCTTACACATGCTCTTTCTGTTTCTGGAAGCTGTGGATTTGACACATTGAAAAAAACTGCATTTTTCTCACCTCGCATGAGGCTCGGAGAAGAGATTAAGAGAGAGGAGAGGAGAATATTGGGATTTTGGCTCGTCACATCTCATTTTTACTCCCACTGACACTCGCCCCTCTCAAAACTTTCACTCATTACCAGCCCTCCTACCCCTCCCTCCCATTTGAAGCACTGATCTCTCTCTCTCTTCCTCCCACACTCTCTCTGTCTCATGAGGTTTTTCCTTCCTGACTTTGTTTCTTCTTCCCGTTCCTCCCCCATTCTTTCCCCCCTCCGAGTGTTTGTCTTGCCTGTCCTTTTTATCTCTGTCACTGGCTGCTGGATGGTATTTTGTGCTTGTTCTCTCAACACTCCATCTCCTTGGTTTTGCACAGCTGTTACAACCCTTCTCACTTTCTCTGTCTCTCTCTCTCACACACACACACACACACACACACACACACACACACACACACACACACACACACACACACACACACACACACACACGCTGACACACTGTTTTTCTTCTTCTGCCAACTTCACAGTGTCTTCTTTTTTTCCTCTTATGTAAATGTCTTAAGTCTCTTTCCTTTTCTGTACCTTGTAAACAAAGACACACACACACACACACACACACACACACACACACACACACACACACACACACACACACACACACACACACACACACACACACAGTCTTGAGTCATATACCACTTCCCTCCACATTATCTAATCTCACACATCACTATTCTCACACTGCTCTGGTAGGTACAGCACACACACTTTTAGCTCTCTCTCTATCACACGCGTTGGAACACCCTCTCTCTCTCTCTCCCTCCCTCCCAGTTACACCCCCCTCTCTCTCTCTCTCAGTTCCCATCCGCACCTCAGCAGAGTAACATGCTGCTTCGGCACAACTACATCTCTAAGCAGTGAGAAGAGACTGCTGCCAGCTCCCCATCAGACTGACCAGACACAAAGAGCAAAGCCCGGAGGAGAGGCAAGAGGTGAGAACCTACCTCCCCTCGAGTCTTCCCTCTCCGGAGCCTCTGACGGGAGGAGGAGGGATAGAGGAGAGCGCTCGGTTTCTCACTGTCCTGACTCAGTTTGGCACCTCGGGGCTGAAGGAGCGGCAGAGGATGCAGAGGAAGCTGCAGGAGCTGGAAAGTTGGCTCTGCTTCACTCGGCAGTCGATCTGTCACTCTGCAGCTTAGCAAACTTTAAAATAAATAAATAAATAAAGCAGAAGAGGAGGCGGTGGACGCTGGAGAGTGAGGAGGAGGAGGGAGAGAGAAAGAGAGGAAGAGAAGAATAAAGCACCCTTTTCCTTGCGCACGTGTTTTTTGGCAACGAGGAGGCATCACTATCCATCCAGAGGAGGCTACCCATGTGGCAGGACGCTCTGTGGACCCGCGGACGCTACCTGCTGGAGAAGAGCGATGGAGGCGAGGGGCCTGAGGGGCCCGAGAGCCTGGGGGACGGGTGCCCGGGGTTCCAGGGTGACGTGTGCGCGGAGGGCGAGAAGCCCCAGGACTGGCTGTACGAGTCGTACTACCGAATGAGCCAGCAGCACCCGCTGATCGTGTTCCTGCTGCTGATCGTCATGGGAACCTGCCTCGCACTGCTGGCGGTGTTCTTTGCTTCGGGACTGGTGAGAGTGTGTGTGCATGTGTCTGTGAGTGTGTGTGTTAACAGGCTGTCTATGTGTGTGTCCTGGGGGAAGTGTTTTGACAGGATTTTAGAGGTGTGGTGAATAATCCACACAGCAGTCCGAGGTTAGTTTGAGTCTAAAAATAAACGCTTACAGAGCGAAAATGTTGTCATTGTTGTGTTTGAACAATAGACACACGAGCACGTGCTCTGTGTTATCAGCACAAATTCCTGCTTTTGAGGGTTTTTTAGTCACCACAAGGACAGATTGCTTATTAACGGAGTAATTTCAGCCTTTAGCCTTCTTTTTAATAATGAAATGAGAAGATCCATACCACTCTTGCACACTTGCCGCTTATTATTTCTGCCATGTGGGAAAATGTTTCTCATGTCAAGTGAAAGACTGTTTCAATCAGCCATGGTGGCGATATGAGTCATTTAGTAAAAATATACTGAATAAATATTTCATATTATTGTGTTCAGAGAAACAAGCGGCAAGCAGAGGGTCAACGAAAAAGAGACAGGACAGACCGGAGGGTCCTCCCTGTCTGAGTAAAGTTGCGTAGAGCAGAGTTAGTTTTATTTCAGCATTTCCCTTTTGTTTCTCTCTCTCTTTTTTGCATTAGTGTGTTATTTCGATGGTAGGGTGGGTCCTGTGTTTGAATCCACCGGCTGAGCGGGAATTTTGTGTGTGGAGTGTATGTTCTTCCCGAGAGGAAAGGGCTCTCTCCAGGTACCCAAGCATCCTCCAAAGGTCTAGAGACATTCTTGTTAGGTTATCTGGCTATTCTAAGTTAGAAGTAACTATGGATGGCTGTTTCTGTGTGTTAGCCTTGCAGCAGACCGGTGAAGTGTGTGGGGTTTGCCACACTTTTAGCCCCATGAGAGCTCACAGCAGCCCCACTGTCAGTCTGAAGTGGATGAGCAGAAGAAGATTAATGGATGATTAGATTTTTTTTGCCTTTATTAGACATGACGGTACAGAGTAGGCGGATAGATCCAAGTATCGATAGTATCAATACCAATGTTGATATTGATATTGGATCAATACTTGATGATGATGATGACTCGTCTCATAAATCATGACAAACCGCTCTTCCCCTAGTAATGGTATCTGCATTACACAATACTGTAATTACTTAGTATTCGATCGATAACAGATAAGGTCAGTATCACACAGCATGAGGAAATCAGGAAACTGTTTTGAGACAGACTCGCACTCGGGCTCATTCAGTACCCCTCTCAAAGTGTGTCACCTGCTCAACCAGCGAGGTGCCCTTCCAGACCCAGTTTTGCTGCTGACTTCTTCACGTTTTCTTTCAAAATCTTCACACATCTTTCTTCCTTCATGATTCCTTCCACAGGTCCAGACACATTGAAGCGTCCGCACAGCAAAATACTTCCACCACCGTGTTTCACTGAGGGTACGGAGTTCTTTAGGTTATACACCTTCTTTACGCAAATATAAGCAGCATCTCTGTGGCTAAATAGTTCTATTTTCATCTCATCTGACCAAACTATGCGCTTCCAGTGTATTCCACTGTCGCATAATCTTTCTCCAGGTTGTATTTAGCTCACTTCAGTCTGGCTTGAAGGCGTTTCTTCTGCAGAAGTGAAGTTTTTCTTGTTCTGCAGCCTCGCAGGCCATTCCCGTCTTCTTCGAGATTACAATTCCCAACTTGGTTAAGTTGTTCACTCGTGTCTTGCCAGTTGTTCTGGGTTTTTAGGCAAATCTCTCACTAGTTTTGAGTCTTTGAAATCCTTCACTTCCTGCCTCTGCCAGGTTTGTCCTGCACGTCGTGGCTTTCTTTGAATTTCTTGATGTTACAGTTGGATATCCAGCTCCTGCTTTGTCAGCATCAATTATTGTTTTTCTCAAGTCCAAACTGATTTCTTTTGTTTTTAGCATGATGCTTTCACAAGTGACAGCTCAGACCCTTACTAAAGTATTTATACTGTTTGTTAATTGGAAGATAACAGTTTCTTTTCAATTTATTTGACAAGTTTTCACAATTACAAAGTTAAAGCACATCAAAGCACAGCAGTGCTTTGTGCTATGGGCCAATAAAAAGATCAGATTTTCAGAGGGGGTAATGATAGTAAAAACAACTGGTAGTTTTTGTTTTTTGTGCAAACAGAAATATTTTATCATGACTCTTGGTTTATTTGCACATAAGCTGACATCGTTATTTCAAACTTTAACCATGTTTAATATGGTCACCTACCACTGTAACAGTACATATACATATAGGGGAAAAACGTAGGAAACACATAAAAGGTCCCATTCAGGTGTGAAATTCATAGAATTTTAACATAAATTCAACTGAAAAATCAAATGTAGCTTGAGCTAAAGCTGCCACAAAAAAACACAGCAGTCCTGTTCTTCCTCTCCTCGCCCCCAACCGATTGTGGCTGAGCCTGGTTCTGCTGGAGGTTTCTTCCTGTTAAAAGGGAGTTGTGCTCACAGGGGCTCATCTGATTGTTGGGCTTTTCTCTACATTACTGTAGAGTCTTTACCTTATAATACAAAGCACCTTAAACAGACTGTTGTTGTGACTTGGCGCTGTATAAATAAAACTGCTGTATTTATAGAACAAGACACATCATTTCATCTTAATTATCTTGATATCATAATTGTTGAAATCAGAATGAAAATGCTATCACATTCCAAGTTCTAAGTCATTTATAATAAGAATAAAGAGTACCGTGGACTTTGGATTTCATTATGTTTCTCATTATCAAGAATCAGAAAGAAGCTTTATTCTCGGGATCATCGAAGAGCGCTGTGATCAGAAGAAGAGTTTTAGTTTTGGCATGAAACTGAATGAGACTGAGGTGGGGAGATGGGGAGCTGTGTGTGTGTGTGTGTGTGTGTGTGTGTGTGTGTGTGTGTGTGTTTGTGTGCGTGCGTGCGTGTGTGCGTGTGTGTGTGTGTGTGTGTGTGTGCGTGTGTGTGTGTGTATGATTACGTGTGGCAGCATAAGAGGCCGTGAAGCGGCACTTTAAATCTCAACGCCGGGTTTGCAGAGCGGATCAAGAGCACGATGACAGTTTAGTTCGCGGCTACGTGGGTGTTGGTGCTTTTGTCAAGTGAAAAGTGTTGTTTTGGCCACAAACACTCAACCATAAACACAAGCTATTGTTTCGCCAGCGCTGCCTTTGTGTTTCATGGAATAGCCGTACAAAAGCAAGCCCACTCATTGCTATTGCTGTTGTTGTTTGATAAAGATTGTTTTGCTCTCATATGCCCAGGACGGTCTTTAGACATTTGTTTTGCTCTCTAAGTAGCACCTCGACTCAATAATTGTTGGGGTCATTCTCAGTAGCACCTCCACCTTTATTGATGCCTTCTATTTAAAACAAATCAATAGAATTTATTGCACTCCCCGCTGGTCGATCTAATCCTCCAAGTTTCCTTTCCTTCTTAGGCTCTGTGCTTCACTGGTTAAATTACAATCCCGCAGGTAATTTCCCATCATTCTCAATGCAAATTGAAATCATTCATTTCTTTCCCCCCAAGTTTGCTCCTATTAAATAACATCCAAGCCTGTCTATAGTGATGAAGCGGTTGCTCAGCGAGGCGTGTGTATTTATTACTGCTGGACCAAGAAGAATGGCAGGAATAAATAGAGGCTGGGTCTGAAGCTAAGAGGCTGGGCAGCAGAGAGAGGGGAGGATGTTGTTGTAAGTGCCGAGGCTTTATCAGTGAGCCGACAGAAACCCAACCAAAGCAGCGTTAATGCTCCCAAAATTGCTGCCCACTTTTATCTGTCGCCACACATCATGGCTGGAGTGGCTCAAAGTGCTGTTTTAAGAAGCCGGCCCCTCCACCCAGTTTGCGCAGTACGTGTGTGTGTGCTGGTATGTGCATATCAGCGATTGTGCTGTTTGGGTGTGTTTGTCTGAGGAAGTCTTTTTTAATTTCTGTCCGAGTAATTTTGAGAGGAAAATCATTCTTGTTCTTTCTGCCTTGAGGTTGTATTTTCTGTGGTGTGTGTCCTCCGTGTTAACCTAAGGTCATTCAAAACATAATTTGACAGTTTAATCAAAATCAATATTCCGTCTGATTATAGAAGATTGGTAATCTGTGAACTGCAACCGCTCTCATTGCTGCCTTGGTGCTCATCACTGATTCCAGCACTGTTTCTGCCGGCTCGTGAGCAGTCTGTTGATATTTTAAGTAAAGCAACAACACAGATTTAGTTTCCTTCTCGTTGACAGTTTGATCGATGGGAGGCAGTGAGGGAAGGGTGTTTTTGTAATGATGGATCACCAGCTGTTACTGGGAGAGAAGTAAGGTGACCGAGTGGAATGAAATAGATGTTGTGACGTCACTGACTAGGTGTGGTTGGAGCTACACAGGGTAAAAATAATCCACTAGACACAGAGACCTCAAGCAACAATGCTGCGAAAAATTGACCTTTTCTGAACTATATTCAATTGCTTGTATATTTTTGATTAAAGTGCCTTAAAAAAGATATAATCACAGTTAGATATAATTACACAGTCGTGGTAAAAAAAAAGAAAAGAAAAAAAAGGAAAACATGTCCCCCAGTCAGTTCTAAGGTTTTAAGTATCAAGACATCATAAAAACAATCTGGTCTTCAAATTAGGGAAATTAGATCTCCCAACAAAGTGAGTTCACATAAACTTAAAATAAATCCATTTGGTTTGTAGAAGCCACCATGTTCTAGTATTTTAGTATTTAATATTTATTTATTTATTGTCATTGTCAAGAACAATGAAATTGCGTTTGGGGCTTCCATACAACCCAAAAAAAAGAAGAAAATAATAAATACCCCTTAAAACCCAAGTGTACATATTTAACCCAGTGTGACTCCAATGCAATAAGACAATCCTTAGCAATAATGTTCGTAGAAATTCAGACAAAGACCTGAGAAACATGACAAAATACAACAATGCAACCCATTCAATATTATTGTACTGTGAGATATGATATCAGATATGATAGTTATCTATTTAAGAAAGGGGGGGGGGCAG